TATTATAAGTTTTGTAATGTTCTATTTCCTAGTAAGGTCAAGTTTTTGTGATAAAAAATTTGGGTCCCTCTCCCAAATTTTTGATTGCATCAAAAATCAAGGAAACTACAAACCTCAAGTATCTCCTCCTCAAGAACTCACAAAAAGATCTTGGGAATCTCAGAACTCACAAAGAGATCCTTTTCCTCTCATGAACTTACTAAGAGATCAAACAAGTAGAATAAACTTTCATTAACAAATCATCCTCCTTCAATACAAGAAAGCTAGCCTATAAATAGGCCTCATGAAAAGAAAAAAATAGCAAAGACTAAAATGCCCTTCGGGCTACAACACCACTTGTATCACTCCTAAGGGTAAAATGAGAAAAACAGTAATATAAGATAAACTAGTATATAAGATATCAAATAAAATAAAATAAACTTTAGATTATAGTCGTTGATCTTCTGATGTCCTCATCATTAATTTTAGAGCTGTTGTTCCATGATTCAAACCTATAGCTTTTGGGTTAAAATGGAAGCAACCTAAACATTGCTGTTTGTTCGACCTTTATAAATATGAAAATTTCAAACCTAAAGAGTATTTAAATGATATCTTGCTATGTCTTATGATTCTTTTTCATTTTTTTAGAGGCGTGCCTAATAACATGACTTATTATGACATGATGATGTAGAACTACGTAGGGATGCAGTGATTTTGGAAGATTTTGCACAACTTTTGATTGGAAAATAGCGAAGAAAACTACGAGCATTTAAAACAACGAAATAAAACGTAAGAGGTGTCATGCCCGCTTAGGCTAAGTCACATAACCAAAGATTTGAAACTTCAAAATAAATTAGAAAATAACATCATGCCAGAATAGGAGTTTCAACAAAAATCCCTAGTCTAACAATAAAAGCTAGAAACAAAGAGGTACACTCAAATCCTTACGTTTTACTAAGCTTAGCAGAAGTAGGTGGAGGCGTCCTTCGTGACTACAATCAATTCACAATAAAGATTAGGCTTAAGAAATACAAGAGGAGGAAGAGTAGAAAACCTTCGTCAAGGATCGGCGGTGATCCTCCACTTGACGATCTCTAACTGCTCTTCAATAGCTTCCACTAAAGTATCCAAGATGCGTTCGATGTAATCTTCCATCGTATGATCGATCCTCGCGTTGACGTCGAAGAAGGTTGAACGTAGGATGTGCACGAAGCCGTGTTCGTCGTATTCAAGTCTGTAATCAGTATTGGGATCGTCCATTCATAGATGCTTAACGACAATGTCTTTCCCAAGGATTGCTAGTTCTCTTGAAGGTTGTTGAAGAGAAAGAAGTCCCTCTTCAACTCGAAGTAAGAATGAGGTACGGAGAAATTTTCCTCCCAAAATCTGAAATAAATTTCAGATCTTGAAATTAGAAGATGGGAAATCAGGAGGGAAATTTTAATTCCTAAATTTCGGTGGAGAATTAATGAGAGAGAGAGATTGGAGAGAGAGAGAGGGGGCGGGTAGAGAGAGGGGGCCGGCGGCATCATGGGGATGGGGAGGGGATTTATTTCCCAAATCAAATATTTGGTTTTAGGAAATAAATTAGGAGCAAGGAGATTTAATAAAATTCGTCCAAGGAGGAGTTGGGGAGATTTGGAAATTGTTCCAAGGGAGACTTTTGGAAACAAATCCTGAATCCTTCTAAGGCCGGCGGCTATAGGAGAGAGGGAGGAGATTTGGGGGAATTAAAAGAAGCTTCCTAATTTAAATTCATGTGATAGAAAAGATTTAATTAAATCCTTTCTCATTTAAAATTCAAATATAAGCTAATTAAGGAGCATTCCAAAAATAGACTTAGTAAATTAAGAAGGATTTTGAATTTGAAATCAATTGAATTTGAAATTCAAATCCATCTAAATTTGACTCGATCTGAATTAGGAAATGAGGCTTGAAGGGGAAGAGGGGGGGGGGGGGGCACGGGTTAGGTGGGAAGCCTGTGGGTGATGGGGTGAGCCGCAGGTTGAGTGGGGGATCGGGTATGGTGAAAGCCGGCAGCTAAGTGGAGGGGGAGGAAGAGAAAAAAGGTAGGGGATGGAACCACGAACCCGACTTATCTAGGTTGGTGGGTATTGCACAAATCTCCCTCTCCTAGGGATTCCACTCCAACTCTTAAACTCTCTTTAGAACTCCAACAAAAAAACGAAATTCTGAAATAATCATTCATTAATTTCAAAAGAGAATAAGGAGGGCTATATAAAGCTTCATACAAAGGACTCAAAGACAAAAGACCACAATGCCTCTTGGACTTACATACGACATCCCTTAATAGAAGGGTACAACGGGAAATGAAATAAAATAAAACAAATACAATGACAACATCAATAAAAAATATATAAAATAAATCAAAAGTACAACAACTCGATCGTGGCCGTAGATCAGCGGCCACGCCTATGATAAACCTTCAATGATCTGATGTCCCCATCACATGAGTTTGGTTGCTATGTAGGTTTTCAGATGGGGTGATTTCCTTAGATGCTAAACTATGCTTGAAAAAAAAGGTACACAAAATACTTTGTGGTGCAAAGGTATATTTGTTTTAATCACTAACGGGTTTTTTATCATTGTTGGGGGTTGAGATGGAGGAGTTAGGAGGGGTGAGTAGTCATTTACTATTGCAGTGTTCAGTATGATATGGGGATCATATCAAGTAGATGGTTCATTAGATTGCAGTTATCTTAATTTTAGCATCATATTGTGAAGTTATCGAAAGAATTGAATCCATTGAGATTTTAATGGTATAATTTGTTGATCAAGATTGCCAATTTTGATGATTTCTAGATCACACCATTAAGATTGAAGTCAAGTTAGCTAGGGTTTGCAGGTTGCTCAAATACATGCTGAATAAAATCATGATGCTGGAAATGTGAACAATTGGATAGCAATTAAGAGACAGCAGGTTTTTTTTTTTTGAATTGAAATAAGGGTTGCGTGTTTTGTTGTGTTTGCTTAAGAATGATAGGCTTTTATATGATTTGCTAAGATTATTTAGGATAATATGGAATTGGATTTAAATTTAATTCATGCATTATTGACTTATTATATGCTTGATTCCTCCAATGGAATTGACTAAACTTTCTACCACCCTCTCTTTTCTTCTCCTTTCCCTATCCTTAAGTAGTTAGCATCCCCAACATGTTAAGTTGATAGCTTGAGCATTGTGCCTTCTGTTGTTCCCAAAGCGGTCGGCCGCCCCCTACTTGTAGCTTTTGTTATCAATTATTGGTGTTATCTTGCCTCTGTCCGACCTCTACTTTTTGTCACAACCTCCTTTTGCTATCCTAGATCTAGCCTACATGTGTAGAGAAGCGAAAATGACTTTTGAGTTTATACGGTCAATGGAAAGGAGTGAGGGAAGGTTTAATTGACTCATGCAGGGTTCTTTTTCTACTTTAAACTATTCCTTAAAACCAAAATTTATAGTCATATGAAAAATGCCCTAGTTCACTATCTAGTTGATCTCTATTCTTTAACCCAAACCTTGTATTTAGTCATATGAAAGATGTCCTTGTTTACTATTTAGCTAGTATGTGGGATTCATAATTGTTTATTGGCACACATTATTATAAACCTGCATTTAGCTGGTCCAAGTATAGTTTGAATTCAGATTTTTGGTTTAGTTATTTTACTTTTATATTGCAAAATCAAAATAGAATACATCAACGTTCAACATTCAACAACCTGTATTTATTAAGGTCGAATCTTGGCTTTTTAATAAGCTTTGTAATTCAATTCATAGAAATGGATGGAAGAGATGGATTTCGTGTTCTATCCTTTAAGTGCTTCATAGAGACTATATGTTTTCTTGCAATTTGGAATTATTCAAAGATCCCCAATATCACAAGGCTAATAGATCATTTGAAGTTCCTTGCACGCTTATTTGCACTAGCTTTTTAGACCCTACCCTTACTATTGTCCATCATGCCTTGCTTTCCCCATTATCCATCACTATCATCACCCTAGTTTTTTTCCCCACTTCCTCATGCTTCTATACTTTGTCGTGCTAGCTTTTCCCCATTTGTTATAACAGTTCTATGCTTGTCTAACCAATGTTGCAGTTATACTTTCTGTGATCCCAAATCTCTCGTTGTTGCCTTGTCCATTAATAATGGGTACTTATAATGTATCTGTCGCTATTTAATATTTTAATTGCCTATGTTTCTCAGTTTTTTCATACAACTATCTTATCTTATTTTTAATTTTTTTTAACAGGCTATTTGTTTGTTCATGTTTTCTTTTGGGACTCAAAAATCTTTTGTCATAACTCATCTTATTGTTGTTTTCCCAATTATGTCGTTGAATTATCATGATATTCAATTGTCACACTATTTTTGCTTGTTGTGAGGCTCCATTGAAGCATTTTGCAGTATGCTATCTCTTTTCATTTCTCCATTTTCCTTCTCAAACACAAGCTTTTAACATCCAACTCTGATCCTCCAACTTATGTTCTTCCCAACCTTTTCATTTCATGGCAGCTTTTAACATTATTTACTTGTAGTTTAGATTGAGGATGCCTAAACCTTTTACTAGTGTTTGATCTCACTTCCCTAATACCCTTTCAAATATCATATTCTGTGCTCTGTATTTTTTCTGCTAATTTTCATATTTTCTTTATTTCCCCTCAAGTGGTCTATCTTCATATATAATCTTGTACCTCAACTGATATCTTGCTTATAACTATGCTATCTTCAAATTTTCTACACTGTAGTAAACACTAGAGATATATACTGCATTTTATTGCAATATTTCATGTACACAACTTTGTTCTTCTTTCCAGGAATTTTCAAATTCCTTTATTTTCGTGTTATATTTGAAATCATGTTGTTGTTGTTGTTTTTAACACAATGGAGAAAAAAGATTCATGTAGCCGACCCCACGTAGTGGGATAAAGGCTTGATGATGTTGTTGTTGTCGTCGTGTTATATTTGAAATCACTAATCAGATTTCTCATATTTTATTGCTTTAATCTTACCTTGCAGCTCACAATGCCTGTAGAGTACCGCAGCCGCCTTACAAAAATGGTGAGTGACTATTTTTTCTTTGTTAATTAGTGGTGGGTAACTTATATATGTTATAATGATGCCTATGTTTAAAAATTCTTTGTGACAACTATTTATTTATTTTTTTATCAACTTTGATAGTTAATGGGCTTGTAAAATGGTCTAAGTGGGTATGGTCGTGCTAATTTTGAATCAATCATTTCTTCTATAAGAAAATCCAACATAAGTGCTACTTTCATCAAACTTTTCTTTTGCAGCCATGTTATTGTTTAGCGAGCTGAAAAAGCAAGTTTTGTCTGGGTTTTGTAAATAACTAATGAGTTATCTCCCTTTTACTTTTTAAACGTCAAATTTGGATTTCACATGAATCTCATTTTTTTTGGGTAATTTTTGGGATGAATCGGCTCAAAGTGGAAGGCGACAACATAGATGGAAGTAATGAGTAATGTTTTGCCTAGCCCATAGCAGAAATCTCATTTGTTTTTAATATCGTAGAGGGGGTTTGAGCAAGGCTGTGTGGAGGAGCGGATGGGGGGTGATTCTGCATGGCACATCTTGATTGTGCACCTTGAAGATGATATTGTTAAAGGTTTTTGAGGAGATTGTACATATGCTTCTTGTTCCCTGCAGTGATACAGAAAAAAACTCAAAACAGACAAGATCTACCTTATTCAATTTACTTCAGTACTTATATATCCAAGTAGCGTATGATCTTGTAATATTGAACATATTTAAAAAGAGAATGTGATGCAGGACATATGTGAAATTATGATTTAGATAAGGATTTTTGTACGCTTAATGATTAAGAGCAAATTAATTAAATCTTTATGGTGATTTAAACAATGAAATAAAACACTAAGAGCGGTAAACACAAGCTTAGGCCAAGTTACGTGCGGAAAGTAAGAACCACAAAACAACCAATTACTCTTGATGCTGCCTATGAGATGGGTTTCAACAAGAAATCCCTAATCTAACAATGAAAGCGGTGCTATGAAAGATCCCTTACACATTTCTACTAAACACTAAGTTTTAGCGAAGAGGATTAACACAACTTTCATGATTCAATTAGAGCTACAAACGAAGCAACGAGAAGGATAATGGATTTGGATGAAGTCTCACCTTTGTCTGGTTTTAGAAGCACGTTACCAATGGAGGGGACAGTGGACAGCAAGTATCTTGAATCGGAAATTCGTAGACAGCAATCAAGAACTTTCTCGAACCAAAGAACAGCCGGGAAGAAGTGCAAAAATTCAGGAAAGCTCCCTGATCTTCACTGGACAACAACTAGGAAATCTTCTTGGACAGTTTTCCTGCTGATTTTGGTATTTATGGACAGCAGGGAATCATGCGTTGGGGGGTAGGTTTGATGTGGGTGGCGGGTAGAGAGAGGGAGGAGAGGGAGGGAGGAATTAGGGAATTAATTCCTTTGATAGGACTCTAGGTTTTGGAAAGAAATTAAATGGTGAAGGAGCCATGGGGCCGGCAGCATCAAGAGGAGTGGAGGGGATTGGGGAAGAGTCTTTGGTGCTTGCCTCTTTGGGAATTCCAATTAAGGAGGGAAGAATTAATTCCAATCCAATTCAAATTTGATTTGGATTTGATTGGATAAGTTTCCTAAAATAGATCTTTATTACAGGAAACCATTTGAATTTCAAAAATTGATTGGTTGATTGGATTGACAGCATTCCCAAAATGATTTGTATGGAAAAGGAAAGAAGTAATGGAGGGATTTGAATTGTTTTCAAGAGAGATCATTGCTTTTGGAAATAATTCCACAAAGAACCAAGAGGGGGGCCGGCGGCATAGGGAGGGGATTGGAGAGATTAAATGAGGTTTAATGCTTTCCTCATTGGGATTCACTAATTAGAATATAAGATTTAATGTCCAATCCAAATCAAATTAAATTTGAATTTGATTTTAGAAACTTTCTTAAAATAGGATTCTATTTTAGGAAATGATTCAAATTTCAAATTTGAATTAATTGATTGATAGTAAATAACTTATCCAAGAGGAGCTAAGCAAGAAAGGAAAGTGTTCAAGTGGAAATTAGAAAATTGGAGCCAAGGGGGAGAGAGGGAAACCGGCGGCTAGGCTAGGGTTTGGTGGAGGAGGAGTCGGATGGGTCACCCAATTAAGGAAACCATCTTGGGGGCCAACAGTTATGTGGGGTGGAGAAGATGGTCTAAGCCGGTGGTGGGGTGGGGATATGGCCGACGGTGGAAGCTTGGAAGAGTAAGAAGGGAGGGAGGGTAGAAAGAAAGAACCGATAAAACAAGCCACGAAATCAAACTCTTCCAAGGTTGGTTGGTGATCCGCTTCCCTCTCCAGGAGTCTCTCTTCAATCTCTCTCAAGCTCTCACAAGAACTCAAAACACGGAAATTTTTTATCATTCATTCATTAACCATCAAAATAGAACATAAGGGCTATATATAGCCTCATACAATGGGCTCAAAAATAAAAAAAACGACATCGCCCTTTGGGCTTATACATGACCATCCTTAAAGGGTAAAAGTGGAAAACAAATAAAGCAAATACAAACATAAATAAATAAAATACAAATACATATGACAACTTAAAAATACATCGGCACGAGGCTGTAGATGGCGGCCACGCATCTGATAAACTTTCCAAGCTCTGATGTCCCCATCAGAATTGCATTTACTTCTAATAGTGAAGTTACCATATAAAAAGAAGATTTACTTTGAAGAAGATAAATATTTGCTTTAGGATGAGACTGTAGAACCGAAAATGTAAAGTGTTTGATCTTCAAAGATCTCTTTGTTAAGAGAGACCTTAAGAGAGACAACGTTGAACTTTAAAATTGATTTTAATATGACTTGGAATAACTAATTATTTCCATTGTCAAGATTGCCATAAAAATTCCAGAGCTTATTGGCCGATTATGCATTAACCAAGGCTTGATGGTTAATGAGGAGATACAAAAAGATTATCAAGAAAAAAAAGTGTTTTTTAAATTAAAAAAAATTATATTGTAGAAATGTTGTTTTTATTATGGCTTCACTTTATTTTAATAAAGCTTGTTACATTGTTGAAGCTTTATATGAAATCAGGGCTCCACCTTGTTTTAATAAGACTTGGTATGCATCATCCACTGTCGTTTATTGTAGTATGAAATATTGTGTCTTTTTTTCATTAGAATGAAAATGAGGTGAACCGTTTAGTATTGATTCTGTTAGGTTTTAAAAAATTGTTATCATTTGCTCAGGGAATCTTACATGATTTTTTCAATGCAGGCAAAATGGTTTGCTGAATCTTCATTGGTTCCATCTAGGCTCTTACAAGAGCGTTGTGAGGTGATTACTGGTTGAAGCCAAAGTTAGCCTTCATATATTATTTTCATTTAGGACTGGTTATTGGCATTACATTCTAATGCTATTTGCTATCATTGCAGGAAGAATTTTTATGGGAATCTGAACTGTCTAAATTAAAAGCTAATGAGTTGAAGTCTAAAGAGGTATGCATTTTTGATTCATTGTAGTTGTTGGTTCTAACTATTGCAGAATCTTCAAAACTTTCACCATCTTTAGAATTTATATCCATCTTGTCATATATCCCATTATGCTAAGCAATATCTAAAGTTAGCTGAGCTGGAGAATTTTATAGCTGGGTGTGATAGTTTAAGTCACACTTTACACAAAAGCGTGGGGAGATAACTTATAAAACTAAAACTTAGTAGTTAAAATGAATAAATGACTCATTTATTTGTGATAAAAAGAATATTATAGATACTAGGAAGACAAATTTATTTGTGATAAAAAGAATATTATAGATACTAGGAAGGCAAATTCTATAAATAACAATAACATTGGCTATGTTCCTTAGAGGGCTTATAAATAGAGGTGTTGGCCTTTTTAGTTGCCCTTGGGTTTTCATGGCTTTAGATTTTTGGGAGATGTATTCCCGAGATGTTATGTCTCAATGTTTATGATAGGAAACACTTGTAAATCACTGAGTATTTCCTATCTATCTTCTCAAAACAGCGAGAATTCTTCACAAAATCCGCACAACATCACAAAAACAGTAGATAATTTGCATGATTTGATGAAGGGAAAATAAAAAATCGCAAGATACAATTGATACTCTATTCGAGAGGAGGGTCGATCTCTGCCAAATCTCTAGATGCCGCTAGAGCCAAAGAAAAACCTAAATCTAAGAGATCTCAAATTTCAACCAAATTCAAGATACCAAAACCCTAGGAAAACAAACTATTTAATGCATACAAATCAAAAGGAAATCTCTAAACAATCCTTACATTCAATTTCCCTCCTAATCTTCCACAAAATTCCTTCATAAAACGCTCCCGTGGAATCGAGGCTCGCGTGGCATCCCGCACAGGCGGAGTTTTTCTCCGTTGTTTCGCGTGTTTCGCGTCCAGGCCGGTTCCGCGTGGACCGGCTGGACTGGCCCACTCGACCGGTCTAATAATACTCCCCTCCCGAAGATCCACCTTGTCCTCAAGGTGGAGATATGCTCGTGTTCCGGTGGAGGTGGTCATCCTTGAGGTGACTGAAAATCCTTACTGTATTGCTGAACCAATGGCTACACGGAAAGAGAAACATCCCCTCTCTCTTCCAATCTAATCGCTTCCAACCTGTGTAGTCCCACCAGATAATCTCCCCTCATCTCTTGTATGTCCCTAACCATGGTCTTAAGTAATGTGATGGCTTGGGATAGCCCTGCTGCCCTGCATCTCCCCTTATAACCACCTTTCTCCCATCCACCATTAATTCCATCGTGAGTGCTCCCCTATTGTCCTTAGTTTCCCCCAAGGTTTGCAACCACTTCATCCCCAGGATGACATCAGTGCTTCCTAACTCTAGTGGAGAAAGTCCTCCCTTACTTGAATCCCCTAGATGGTCAACTCCACTCCTTTACAGATTCTTTGGCCTTTCTCCACCTTCCCTGTACCCATCATCACTCCATAACAACCAGTGTCCACCAATTTCATTCCCATTTGGTCGACGACCTAAGTGGAAATGAAATTGTTGGTAGCCCCACAATCAATTAGCACCACCACTTCCCTGCCCTCTATTTCCCCCTTTACCTTCATGGTATGATTCGTAGAGAATCGTACCACTGAGTTCAGGGAAACCTCAGCCAGATCCAAGTGTAGCTTCTCCTCCAGCTCCTCCTCTGTCTCCTCCTCACCTCCCTCCTTAGTTTCCTCGTCATCGCAGACGGTGATAACCTGAAGAGTTCGGTCCTTGCACCGATGTCCTGGCGTATACTTCTTCTCGCACCTGAAACCCCTTTGCCCCCCTCCTCTCTTGCACCTCCTTCTCTGCCAGTCTCTTGAAATTTTCCCCACTCCCTCCTCCTACTGGCTTATCTCTGGTGGTCTCATTAATGTTGCTTAATGCAGACCCCTTGGGTGCTAGAAGAGTGGTCGTCGTTCTGTAAGAGCCTCCTGAGCCACTGTTCCTTACCCCCTTTTCCAGATTCTTCTGATTTTCCACCAGTTGTGCCGACTTCATGGTCTCCCCCAAGTCACTAGGCATCAGAACTTTCATTGCCGCTCGGATCTTTGCCTTCATTCCCTTCATGAAGTTCCCCTCCAATACCATATCTGATAATTGCTCCACCCTACTGGCTAGGTGCTCAAACTGCTCCCGATAGTCTGCTACTGATCCCTCCCGTGCCAGAGCAAAGAACTGTTCATAGAAATCTCCTCCCTGATTGGTTTGAAAATGTTCTATTACGCAGTCCTTGAATTTCCTCCAATTCCTGATAGGTCTCCTCTGGTCTCTCCACTGGTACCATGACTGTGCCTTCCCTTCCAAACATAGGTCTGCTGCTGTTAGTTTCTCCTTCTCCCTTAGCCCATTAACGACAAAGTACCTTTCCACCTTATAGATCCACCCATACGCATCCTCCCCCTCGAAGTTAGGCATCTTCAACTTCCTCACCTTATGATCTCCACCATTTCCCCTGATTCTTCCATAATTTCCCCTTTCCCAAGTGCTAGGTCCACCCCATATTTCCCGATCTTCCCTTGCTCTGCCATAGCCCAAACTCCCTTCGAGATTCCCCCTTCTTTCTTCAAAATCAGCACCCCGACGACCGTAAAACCCCTCATGGCGTTCCCAATCAGCCCCTCTTTGCTCCGCTCCCCCATAGCCATACGTTTCCCTATGTCGATCTCCTCTTTCCTCCCTATGGAAAAGCTCCACATAGGGTCTTCTTCTTCCCCCTTCCACGATTTCCAGCTCTTCTTCTTCTTCCTTACGGATTTCAGAATTGGTGTTTTTCGCTTCTGGGCCCTTCGCTTCGGATGACGCTGTTTGTGTTTGAAGCTCCAACATTCTTTTCATCATATCTCTGAGATAGGCTATCTGCCTCTCCATGGAAGAAATTCTTTCCTCCACGGTTTCTTTTATGTGATTTATCTCTCCTTCGAATCTCTCCTCCAAAGCATCAACTTTCTTGGCCCCCATTACAATCCGGAGTTTGTAGATTCACAAAATCTGGATTTTGGAGTAAAAAAACAGCAACTTCCTCCTTTTCTGGGCAAAAAATTGCTGCAGGAATTTGCCGAAAACAGTCCACCGGTCCCAAGACTTGCTCTTATACCAATTTGATAGGAAACACTTGTAGATCGCGAGTATTTCCTATCAATCTTCTCAAACAGTGAGAATTCTTCACAAAATCCGCACAACATCACAAAAACAGTAGATAATTTGCATTATTTGATGAAGGGAAAACAAAAAATCGCAAGATACAATTGATTCTCTATTCGAGAGCAGGATCGACCTCTCCCAAATCTCTAGACGCCGCTAGAGCCCAAAGAAAAACCTAAATCTAAGAGATATCAAATTTCAGCCAAATTCAAGATGCCCAAACCCTAGGAAAACAAACTATTTAATGCATACAAATCAAAAGGAAATCCCTAAACAATCCCTACATTCAATTTCCCTCCTAATTTTCCTCAAAATTCCTTCCTAAAACGCTCTCGTGGAATCGCGGCTTGCGCGGCATCCCGCACCGTCAAAGTTTTTCTCCGCTGTTTCGCGTGTTTTGCATCTGGGCCGGTCCCGCATGGACCGGTTGGAGCGGTCCACTGGACCGGTCTAACAGTTTTCCTTGTGACATTCTTTGTGTGATTCAAATCTTTTAAAGTGCGAGTCTCATATTAAATCAAAATTTCCAAGAATCGACTCTTTAACTTTATCTTGAGATGCATCCTTTTATCTTTTAGTACAATTTGCTGTGAAATTTGTTGTGTTTGTTTTGCTAACTTTTTTGTTAATGTGGTCTTTCCTTATTGGTTGTAGAGATGTTAGCATTGGGAAATAAGAGGCTATCTTAAAATTAGAAAGCCGTCGCAGGGTTCACAAAATTGTGCTTCCTGCTTTATTTCTTGATTTATTACTCTAGTGTGTGTTATTTTCTATGATTTACTTTTTCAAATTGCAGGTCAGAATAAACACGCGCCTTTTGTATCAACAAACAAAATTTAACCTCCTTAGGGAAGAAAGCGAGGGCTATTCCAAGCTGGTAAGGGTGGTTCTCACATGTTTTTGAGAGGTCTTAAAAAATAATTAAACGATCAATGTTTCCTAACAGTTTCATTGACTTGTGCTAATGATTTATACAATTTCAATCAAGCTATTTTCATGCCTTTCTTATTTGATCAATGCAGGATATTCTTTTGATGTAATTGATATTGATATTCATTTGAACTCTATAAAACATATGTAGTATCTCAGCTACCGATGTTGACTCTTTTTCACTATTTTTGTCTAGGCTGTACTTCTTTTCTTTAGTTGCTAATATTCGAAATTGTTTTACCGTCTTGGGCTGTTTATCAAATTTCTCTTTTAAATTTGTTTGAAAGCGTTTCTTGGATCAAATGTTAGGTCGTCTTTATTTAGTGGCGATGCTCTCTACAACAGCCCCTCTTTAAATCAGCATCCCTGCATGTGTATGTGGTGCACTTAAGACAATCTTTTACACTACAAATGCTTTGCACAAGTGTGTATTTCCTTGAAATCTCAGAAATATTGACCGAAGACTATGCTTTAGAGAGTATGCTGTATGCTAGAAACCAAAGAACCAAGTTTTCGCTCATACTGTTAAAATGGTAATGAACACAGACTGACCATATTTCACCCTTCATTAAAATGAACTTTGCTGAACACGTTTCTACCAACTTGCATTTGATTGCCAAGTATGGTCTATAAAGTCAATTCACTTAACTTGAACAGTAGAGCTCAAATTTTCTCTTATCATGTCCATTTTAATGTTATGCCCAACGATGACCTGTTAAATGTTAAATCATCTTATGCATCATGCTTGTCAAGTGTACTATTATCAACATACTATCTTAATCACAACTTAACATTCATTTCCTTATTTCATTTATTTTTAGCAAAGATATCTTATCTTAGTCTTAGAATCTGTGATGTTTAGATAACTAGGTTCATTGGCCATCACAAGATAATTGATAATATAAAACGCACACTACAGTTCATAGGGTAATGACACAGTTTGCAGGCTAGCATCATAAAATTCAATAAGCTCATCTGTTACCCAAATATTATCGCTATTGAACTAACACTCAAATCAATATCAGGAGTTTGACTATCCGTTTTCCTCCATTGGGCTCACCATGTATGCTGCCCAACTTGTATAGATCATCATCAACATATCATTTTCAGCATGTCCTACATAATATGATTTTTTTAAGCATGTTGTATTTTACATCATAGACTATTTAAATATATACTTTATGCATCTTGAATATGCTAATCAATATTATGCATTCATATGTAAATCATACGCTCCAGACGTCATACTTTTAAAATACAATTGGGGTGTGAGTTGAGCCTCGACTCATTGATGAGCTTATGTGGTTGTTTGGTTTGTTGAAAAAAGAATGCAGAATAAAATGAAATGTAATGTACAATGAATACAATATATTTGATTTGGAGTTATTTAGATGAGCTTAAAATAAATGCTAATGATTATTATTATTATTGTTTGGCTTTAAGTAAAATGAATGCAGTGTAAAATAAACAATAGTGGTTGTTGGTGGTGGTGATGGAATGCAGTGTGTGGCGTCAACTGAGTCAGTTTGCAATGTATTTGGAAATTGGTTGAAAACTGATGAGTTTAAAATGCATAAAAAATGAACTACATATTGAAAAGACCACGAAAACCGTACTTTGCATTCCTTTTTTCATCAGATAAAATATCAAAATTTTCAAATCCCCTACATGTGGAATGCTTTGCATTCCTTTTTTAAGCTAACCAAATGACCCCTATGAGTGGAGCTTCTCAAGCCACAAGCTTGAGCATGAGCACAAACTTGAGCACATTTATTAAACAAGTTTGAGTTCAATATTGTTAAGGCTCGGTTCGGCTGGAGAGTTGGCTCAACTATGATATTTAGGGTCTTGCAGTTTTAGGTTATTCTCGAGTATTCAGAGAACCCACTACCTCTATCAAATTAATCACATCCATTTGACTTCCTCCACTGCTCTCATTGATGCTTTCTCTAGTGGGATTTTTTCGAGACTTCCTTTGCTGAGCTCGTTGATCCTTATCTAGCGAGCTCCTACAATGAGTCAATGACCTCCTGTTGCAAATTCCTCTTGAGTCAAGCTCTGGAGCTTCGTTTACACCCCTAAAATACGTCATTTTAATAAAATATTAGCATATTCTTAAAACTTCAAACATTTGGTTTCAAATTGAGCGTGACTGTTTATCCATGAATGTCCGGATATAAACGTATACTTTCCAATTCGAAATCTTATAATAATTGGCATTCATTGGAGTCTAAATTACTTATAAATTTAAAAGCAAAATTCTAAAGAATACTTGTTTCATGAATCAAAGATTGAAATCTTACCCTTCTGGCGAATGAAAATTAGACAAACTTCTTTGTATCGGTCACTTTGAAACCTTTTTCTCTTACAAAGAGTCCGTGAAATGTAAAATTTTCAAATCATAAAAGTTCTAACTGAATTAAAAATTAGTATCTTATCAAACTATCGATCTACAATTGAACAAATTTCTTTGTACTGGTCACTTTGAAACCCTTTTTCTTATAAATAATCTACGAAATGTAAGATTTTCCAACTTATAACATAATTTTAAACAAAAAACATTCTTAAAATAAACTTTTACCTGAAAGCAACATTTTCTCATACAAATCTCAATGCCTACCGGTCTGGTTCGATTTGTGTGAGAAATTACTAATACCCAGAAATTTCTGAACGCAACTTTTTTCCTTTATTTTCTCCTTTTCCGGCCCTCAGCCTTGGCTTTATTCTTTGTATATTGCTCGGGGTCTATTGGGTTAAGGGATGGAAAATGGGGGCGGTGAAGTGCTTAGGTGTTTGAGTTAATATATATTAGTAGTTATTTTATTATACTTAATTTACCTTGAAGTATTCAGAACTCTCCATTGTCCATATCATGATTAGTCAAGTAGAAATTCCCTCTGACTGCTTAAGGACAATAAATTCGGCTAGAGAAAAAAATAATCCAATTAATAGTGAAGTTGAATAAATTTAGGTTAAAAATTAAATACTATATATATATATAATAACAAAATATGGAATATGAAAATGCCTGTAATTATTTTTATAGGATTTGCAAAAAATTATGGCATGCAATTTTTGGGTAATTTATGACTTTCTATCTTTATAAAAATTTGAATATTACATTTTATTTGTTTTATTCATAAGTTTTTAAAGCCACGACTATAAATATTAACTCAATGTCTTAAAGTTATGCTCTTTGTTAACATTGAGTTTTCTACATTGGATCTACCCAGTAATATGATGAAAGAGGAGAGTATCTTCCAGCTTCATTTATCATCTTGCATGTCTGATTCATCTCTCTGCCATCATTGCCGAAATTGGACTTTTTGATTATCTCTGATTTTAATTTTATAGGTTACTCTTCTTTGTCAAAATGGTGTAGATGCTGCTAACCAGACTACATCATTTGGTATAATCAGCATAATTAAGGTGAGAAAATTTACATTGTTAGCTTTCATGATGTGATTATTTCTGCCTAATATCTCTTTCAAACTTTAATGTTTGGCAGTCTTTGATTGGACACTTTGATTTGGATCCAAATCGTGTCTTTGACATTGTAAGTTGCATACTTCCTTGGCGCACCAACCTTGTTTTTTTGTAACTTTTTTTTTTGGTTTAAGCTCAAAACTTTTTTCTTACATGTTTGCTTGTTCAGCCTTCAATTAAATTTAACTGTTATATATTTTTCTATATTTGTAATAATCAATTTAATAATTGTTGTTATAATTAGTTTTATATTAGTTAGTTGTTTTTTTTATTTAGCATGCTTTGTAACTTGAAATTATGAAACTACAACAGGTCTTGGAGTGTTTTGAACTCTACCATGACAACAACATATTTTATAGTCTCATTCCTATCTTTCCTAAGGTAACTCTTCTTTCTCAATCAAATCTAAAATTATTGCTCCTTTTTGCAGTTATAATTTTTACTTTGTATGATCTATTTTGCAGTCACACGCTGCCCAAATATTGGGTTTTAAGTTTCAGTACTATCAAAGAATCGAAGTTAGCTCTCCAGTTCCTTCTGGGCTTTATCGTCTTGCTGCGTTGTTGGTAAAATCAGACTTTATTGATCTTGATAGTATGTAAGTACCATTTTCTTGTTTCATTATTTGATTTGTGGTTATTCGTAATTTTGGCATTTTATCTTTTATTTTTGCTTTATAGTTTTTAATTACTTATGTGTTCTGAATAATTCTTTGGATTTGTACCTTCAATCTTTCACGCATTAGTTTTTGTCTGTTTGAATGAATATATTTGATCAATTTAGTCATATATATGTTTTAATATCCTCTTTTCAAGATTGGGATCAAATTAACTCTCTTCATTCTCTGAAAATTTTTTGTGTGATGAGTGCTACCAAGGTTCATGCCTAGTAAATTTTTTTGTGAGGCTTCGTTGAGATAACAATAACTTTATTGGTTGTGCATTTAAGCTTGCTTTTTTTTTTTTTAAGTACATAACAATGTACAAATGTTCGAATTGCTTTGCTGATGAAATACACAATAATAGATGTCACCAAGAACAAGAAAAGAACGCTTCTTGACTCCTACAAAATAATGAAAGATGGTTTCCAAAAGGCTTTGACTGAAAACAGACGCTTCAACAACCTCGCCAACCCTTTTTTTTTTTTTTTGACTACAATGGAAAATTCTGCACTAAGGATATTGCAGATTTGCAGCATTTCTAATTTCTTAAATGAAAATGATCAAAATGGTCTCTTGACTCTTTATTAAATATCAAAATGATCTCTAACTATATTAAACGATCATTTTGTCCTTTCAACTCTTTAAAAAAGAATCAAAATCATCTCGTGGGGACCATTTTGATCTTTCATAAAGAGTTAAGAGATCATTTTGATCCTTTTCCTTTCTTAAATCTGTTTCCCTGCTGTTTTGTTCTGGTCTGCTCCAGCAAGAAAATGTCTGTGTGGACCGCCATCATCTGAAATGCTGCTGTTCAATCAGATCTTATACCCATTGTCCTTTCTGTTGCTCTCTTAAAAATTAGTGCCAGCTGCTGTTCAAACCTCATGATTGCTAGAATTCCAGTGACCTGAAACTTTTCATAAAAGAAATACTTGGTACATCATTGGTTCAAATGAAGGAATTGTCCATAGCCAAGAAGAATAGAGAAAAGAAAAAAAAAAGAAAGAACAAAATGAAATATAAAAAAAAAATTTTGGATCTCAACAATATTGCGTTTTCATCGCATATTCTTTGGTTTTCTGTTAGACCGGTCCACTGGACCGGTCCAGCCGGTCCAGGCGGGACCGGTTCACGGGCAAAATCGCAAAACAGGCGGAGATTCCGCCAGAACGAGCGGCCCGTCCGCTCATATAGAGCGTTTTAGGAAGGATTTTTGGGGGGTTTCAGAGAGAAATTTGAATGTAGGGACTGTTTAGGGAATTCCTTTTGATTTGTATGCATTAAATATATGTTTTTCCTAGGGTTTGGGCATCTTGAATTTGGGCTGAAATTTGATTTAGTTTTCTTTGGGCTCTAGCGGCGTCTAGAGATTTGGGAGAGATCGATCCTCCTCTCGAATTGAGGATCAATTGTAATCTTTGCTGTTTTCTTCTTCTACTAGTAAAATACAGTTTTTCATGACGAAATTTTCTCAGTTTTCTAACAGTTTTTTTTGCTGTTTTAACTGTTTTCCCTGCTCCGGACAGCAGTATTTCGTAGAGTTTTGCTGTAAGGTGAATAGGAAATACTTGATTTCAAGTGTTTCCTATCATTTTCTCATATCGCGCATAAAAAGGCAAAAATTTAGTTGTCAATTTTGCCTTGCTGATATCAAAGAAGTATTCTTGTGCATTATTCTAACATGCGGACGAAAATGCATGACAATAAGTACCCTTATGGTTTGTCTCAACACGCATGGGTGCGCCTTCATACATGCAATTGAAAGCTATTCATGCTTTTTCAAGCATGGGGGAGACATGTGAGATATTGCCAAAATACTGGAGACATTGAATAGGATCTACCTAGGAATGCAGAGATCTAAAAGAACTTTATGGCAGCATTAACAAACAGTCAATTTAAAGGGTAAAATGCAAATTAAAAATATAACATTTAAACCTCCTATAACTGTAAATAAATTGAAGGTGAGCAATCAAGGAGATCATGAGTAATGTAATGGGCTTGCTAAGAGCGCGAACACAAACATCTTCACCACACACATAGAATCACTTTTGATTGTTAGAGAATAATTGGACATGAATAACATAACTCCAGCCTTTTTATAGAAGAAAAAAAAGATATGATAGGGGGTCTCAATACATAAAATATAATCATATACAAGCAAAATTATAATATGTTGAAAATACAAAATATAATCTTATTTGTACGTCATTGTAACTGGAGCTGTATCACATACTTGCAAGCAAATAAATTGCAATAATTAAAACTCAAAATAAAAAGCTATCCATGCAGTTTAACGACAATGAATATATGCAATTGACTAAAATTTGATACTTTTCCAATGATGTGCAAACGTCAAATTGAAATTCAATGCTTAAAAAATTGTGTAAGTGTCATATAAGTGAACCAAAAAGTGTACAAATATATCATGCAAGTGTTTTAAAAATCTTACATGTATAAGAAAGTACATCCCTATCATTGAAAGTAGAATCATTTTCTTGTGCTTCAACAAATGTGAAAAACACTCAAACTTCATGTCAAAGAATGCTTTGCAGACTAAAATAAAATGAATATAAATTATTCAACTCCAAAAATTGTGCAAAATTTATTGAAGGATGTGCAAGTATTTTGAAAATTCATTTTTAGAATTCAAACTCAGAACATCAAGATCTATTTTTTTTAAACACTAATTATTCAAACAATCTCTCCTAAATGGTAGCCGTGTTTAAAGTGAATTTCAACGAGAGGAAATCCGATTTTTAAAATGTTAAATCCCGATGCAATTCTTTTCAGGTTCAAATTAAGACAAAAATGCAAAAATTCTCAAGAAAATTGCAAAATAAAAAATATCCAAGCCAAAATGATCAATCTAAATTTAAAGCAACAATCCATCCACCTTAAGCAATGATTTGTTGAGAGTAATAAGTTTATGATAAGCCTAAATTCACAAAAGCTAATATTGTATTAAGCGTATAACTATTATCATTTTCAAAATATCTCACAACTTTAAGGATTTTGCACATGTTCTCTAGCTGGATAGTTTTTCCGCAAATGACACTTATGATCGGAGATCTCTAATCAGTGTATTTCGCAACAAGATGTCACAATTAAATTGCTGTCACGAGCAAAGTCAAATGTTCCTCAATGGTCTAGCCCCCTTGAGTTATGAATCATAGTGTACTTGATAAGACATTCTTTTGTCTGCTAAGGTTGACTTCCAATAATCTTCTTAGAAAACCATCCACCCCATTACTATAAGAGCATTTGGACGATACAATCTATGACTTTTGGTAAGTTCCCTTTGGTTTTGTTGGGTTGGTTAGGGGTGTAAATGAGTCGAGCCGAGTTCGAGTCATGCCTAACTTGATCTTGGCTCGTCGGCCAAATCGCGAGCTCGAGCTTGGCTAGTGTTAATAAAGATAGACTCGCGAGGTTGCTATTGCCACAGGAAGAATGGTTGGTGATCACCGCGTCGAATAAGAAGAATGGAGCTACTATTGTTGCAACTTTTTCTCCAGATAAGATGGCTTGAACAAAAGCATGTTGGCGAAATTAATGAAAGCTGCAACTCATGCAGCTTTATTAACTCGTCTACTTAAAAGAGACAACTTTAATTTTGTAGCTTTTTGGAGTAAACAGTGAAAATATTATTATTATTTTTTAAAAATTTCTAATAGCTAATTCGAGCCAGCTTGCGAGCTCATAAGTCGAGCCTCGTCAAACTCTAACTCAAGCTTGAGGCTTGATAAGCTCTGCTTGTGAGCTCCTTATTGAGTCGAGTTCGAATAGGCTCACGAGTTGACTCGGCTTATTTACAACCCTTGGGCCAGTTATCTTCGTTGACTAAATAAACCATTATCCAAGACAATTTGGGATGATGGAATCACAAGCTCTTGATTGGTTTCACCATTATTTCCCAGCCATTGGCATCAAACTAAAGTCAGTAAATTTTCCTATCCTAAAATCTAAAATTGATTCTATTATAGGCTTAGCATTTAGCATTTAATGACAAGCCTTAATCAAATGTTTTCTCTCCACATTGATTGGAGTAATAAACCATAGGGGCTTGCACCTATGAGAAATATGAAACCAAATCTTAAACTCTTCGCAAAATGAAGGTAAAATCTCTTGGTGCTATTTTATCAGTAATCTAATATTCCTTTAAAATTTTGACATGGGCACTCAACTCTCTTAAGAAGAGTAGGGCATGAATTTTTGAAGCCCCAAATATTATGATGTTGGAATATAATTTGTTATGATTACAAAGGTCCTATGATCTAACATTTGTTCTTCTTACTTGAGAAAATTTTGAATGCCCTAAGATCATGATTTCGGCTGTGATATTATCCTATGCTAAAATAGGATTTCTTTTTTTTTTAATAGATAATCCTTCAAATACCATGTTAAAAACAGAAAAAAAAAAGAATGTTGTGATATGATCCTATGTTAGTGCTATTAACGATATCCTAAACGTTCTTTATGATGAAATACTAGATGACTTATATTGAAAATTACACCGGTTGATTATATTATGTAGCATGTTGTGTTGATAATTATTTTCATTTTGTTTGAATTATGAAGATTATGCTTTCGGCTAGCATTCTTTGTTATAGACCATTTATTTCATGATATTAATGATTTTATGATACACTGTTAGACAGATTTATCCTCTTACCTAGGAGTATTTTGTATGTTGAAATTATCTATTAAATTGTTACATATTATTAATCTCACTTAATTCACTAATTCTTGTTTCATCCTTATAGAGGAAGACTATTTTCTTTCATTTATGAAACAATTCTATCAGAGTTTTTTTAGGTCTCATTTGATTTCTTTTGTTGATAGAAATCCGTTTTAGAAATTATTTCATTTTCTCTATTTGTGTGGAAATGATGTTATCACTATAAAGAGATTTTGAAGGGAGTTTTTACCCTAAAATTTTGTTAATTTTGCTTTATCTGATCTGCATTATTATTTTAACTCTCAATGATTTTAAGTACATAATTGCTGTATGGTCCATCCCGCTGTTTGTTTTTCTCAATATATGCAGATGCTTGCCTGTGTGTGCTCAGGGCTGTTAGTCTGCACGTTTTTTCTTAAGTCCAATATCCCTCCGCTTTCTAATATAATTTCAGACCAGTTATTTGATTGTACGTTTGTTGATTTTTAGTTAGTCTTTTTTTGTTTATTTAATCGTATTTATTATTACTTTCAGATGTGCCCACTTACTTCCGAAGGATGAGGAGGCATTTGAGCATTATGATGCACTCATCGCAAAGCGGTTTGAAGAAGTTTGTTCTTTCTTCTTATGTAGTTTTATTTCTAAAAGTTTTGGTTTCCTGCTAGATGTTTGAAGAAATTATTTCATCATTCTTTCTTGTTATGATGCGATCAAAAAATATAGGGGACCCTATATTTTTTTACACAAAAATAAAAATTGACTTCCTATAAAAAATAAGACACAAAATACCTCAAAAGAAGAGGTAACTTAAATAAGACTAAGCAGCGGAAATTAAAACTACAATCGTTGATTTTAATAACTTAAACTCTTACAAACGACTCCAAATAAAATAAAACGACACACCCTAAAGTTGCTGCACTTGGAAGAAAGATACAGGTGGAGTGGCACTTGCGGAGAGACGAAAGAGGTTAGAAGCCCGAGAAGAAAGGTTGGAAAGAGCCCTCAGGATTTCCGGAGTGGATGAGGAAGAAGGGTGGAAAGAGCTCGCAGGATTTCCAAAGCAAACCCGCAGGTTATAGCTTTTCAAAAAATAACATTTCATAACATAACTTCAAACATTACAAATCCTCCATATATATAGGTATGAAAGGGAATACAAAGAGACACTAACATTAATTATCACAAGAACCTAAACATCACAAGCATTAATCCCAAATGCTTTTCACGGAAAACACAACCCAAGCCAAGGAACCGAAGAGGAAACCGCGGGAGCCAAGGAGGCCGCACGGTTCCAAGGAGTCACGGTCACGGAAAGGAGCCTAGGCACGAAAATCCAGCAGCCGGCCGGAGATCCAAGAAGCAAGGCACGGGAAACGGCAGCCCAAGGGAGGAAGCCAAGGAGCCACCGCATGGGAAAAGACATTTCTTGGAATTCCAAAGGCCGGTTTGGAATTCCAAGAGACAACAATAATTAAAAACCTAAAAAGCATAAAAATACATTTAATAAAAAGATAACTATGAGCTAAAATTATAGCTAATAATGAGCTAACCCTTAGTTCAATAAATGAACTAAAGACTAGCTCATAAATGAGCTAAAATTTCAGCTCAATTTTGATTGAGCTAGTAGACTCAAGGGAAGCCAAAATTCATATTATTTTGGATATGGGTTGACCCCCCCTTGTCTACATTATGTTCCCAGCTATAGCGTATTCTATAGGGAATTATTTTTAAATTCTCCAAGGGCTAGGTCATTACTTATTAAAAGACTTACTGATTAGGCATTCGGTAATGCAGTGGGCATCGTGCTGTTGATTTTGGATGCAAGCTACAACATGTATAATTTGGCCAGGGAAAATTTTGATGATTGGTCACTGTTACAGCCCATGCTTGTGGTTATTGATCACTGGCACAGTACTAGCATCTCAATGTCATCCATCCATTTTTCTTTAAATTATCTACATAATTTAACAAAAATAGTTATAATCGAAACCCGCAGTTGGGGATAAGCACAGAAACCAAAACTTTATAAATAGAAATTCACCTAATTCTTCAAAACTCATTGCCAATGGATAAAGAAGTCCCTTAAGATATCAACAGCAAAACTAGATTGAACATGTTATAACAAATTTGGTATACTGCCCAAGCATCCCGCATATGTTCTGTACTTGATTCATAACAATGAAGTTTTTCTTCTGCTTCCCATATGTTAGCTGTCAAATGTCTTATTTCTCAGTGAAATACTAGGAAAGAAGAGGAAGTTGCAGTTAGAAAGTCATTGTAACAAACGCTGTTGGAGTGTATTTTTTATATAGGAAGAATCTTTTTTTATCATTGTCCAATTGTTCTTGATTTGTCTAATTGTATCAACAAAGGAATGGAATCCATGACGCCAACTAGGGGTTTGCTTTGTAATAAAGGGTGGAAACGTACTAGCCTCTCTTACGTGCATGGTTAAAGAAATCCAGCTAGTGGCATAGGTCATCAGAGGACTACCTTTCAATTGTCTTTCCTTTTTGCTTACCTTCTCAGCCTTTGTGCCACCTTAACACTTAGATGAAATTGTATTTATCATCATAGATTAATAAATACAATTTCATCTCTATGATCAATACAATAATAAATTTCTTCTAAGCCTTTGTGCCACCTTCAAAAGCTGCCATTTCTTTTATAATACCCTTCTCAAATATGACTGATGTTAAATGAATGAATTCAGTTACGCCTTTATACCTCTTTTGATTAATTTCCTTCCATCTGAATACCTTTATATCCCTTGGTTGCATCCCATTAGAAGGGACTGAGAAGGAATATGCAGGCTGCAATACTTTCCCATCCCCACTCTTTAGATCTAACTCCCACTTGACTTGTCTTCTGAATTATTACACTTAAATCTGTTTTATGTTCCATCCATACAGAAAGTTCCCATTATGACTTTTGCAGGTTATGCTTGATTTATGCTCATTTTGTTAAGATGCTTATCCTTTTGTAAACCCCGTTTTCAGGTTGTGGAGATACTCTTTCATTTAATATGTTGCATCAAAATGTTATCAATGGCTTTCATTATTTGTTGGAATTCCTTCTGGGGGTTTTTGTTTAGCCTTCATAACCAATTGGTCTCTCCACTGGCTCATCTGGTGGAGTCCAATGCCTCCCAATCAACTTTTTCATTTATTTCAATCATCTACCTTTTTCATAAATATTTTTCATCAACATAAAGATGAGATTAATACTCTAAAATTTTTAGAGGAGGTGGTATTAGTTGTGTACAGCTTTCAAGTGATCGTTGATGACGGCTACGATGGTGGTGTTTGCGGTGAAGGCAATGAACTAGAGGTCGAGACAGTCGAGTGAAAGTTCCTGCGGCTCAAGGGTGCATTAAGGCGTGATTTATTTGGGGCTTAGTTTATGATTTAAGCAAGTTTTAAAACAATAATATAAATAGGGTGAGGCGTAAGCCTCACACCAACGAGGCGAGTCCAAACTCAAGGCAAGCCTTGGCTAAGTTGAGATGCAAGCCTCATAAAAAAAGCTCGAGATGCTTTTCAATGGAATTTTATTGAGGCGGGCCTCATATTACACAATTTTAAATAATGTTTTGAGGTGACTGAGGAGGTTACAACTGGATTATGATTTTTTTTTTAGATTTTGAAGGAAGTTTTTTTTTTTTGTCAGCCTATATTTTTGGGAACATTTTTTTTTGTTTCATCGCATTACTGTAAAGCTCTAAAATTTTGGGAATTTATTTCAGGCAAACAAAATTGGTAAAATAAATTTAGCTGCTACTGGAAAAGATCTCATGGAAGATGAGAAGCAAGATGTTACAGTCGATTTGTTTACCGCACTGGACATGGAGAGTGAAGCTGTTATGGAGCATGCTGCTGAGGTCGAAAATAACCAGAGTTTTGGTCTTCTCATTGGTTTTCTTTCAATAGATGACTGGTATGCTTTGCTGGAAAGTTATATTCATACTGAATTTGGCTCAAATGCTGTTGATTGCAACATTGAGATCGATTGCATATCTGCTAGTGTTTGGTTTTATGATTGATGGAACTTGTTAATTTTATACTTTGTTGTGGATGTATTTCCTCGTCATTTTTTTTTTCTTGTATTTATAAAGCATAGACTAATCTTGTGTGCTCAATGGATGCGTAAGTGTCTTATGGTCATATTTGAAAGCATGTTATATTAAGGAATATAATGCTGTGTATCATGTGTGTGTTAATGGGCTTTGGTATGAGGGTGTGGTGTGCTAGTTTTAGCTCCAGGATGTGACATTGGCAATTAAAAAATGGCTGAAAGAAAGAAAGAGAGATGGGCCGGTCAAATCCAGCTTTAAATCTCATTGGCGTCCTCATTGCACCAATTCCTGACATCCACTACTTCCACAAGCGCTTCTTATGAGCTCACAAAATTAAAGTTTTCACAAGGTATACAGGATTTTGGGAATAGGACCATCAAGCAATATGGCTAGAATGCTTTAGGATTTGTAGTCAATAGTTTAAGATAAATTTTGAGGCATATTGATATTTAGGCCCCCTCATTTATCGTGCATAATAATGGATTGTGGTCATATTTGATCACGTTCATATGTACGCCTTAGTAGTAAATCAACTCTATATTATTAAGCATTCTATTTACTTAAAAATATATGTACATTGTAATAGCTGTTTTAATTATTTATATTACTGTGAGGTGTAATATTAGGGATTTTTGTTACTATAATAAGAGGACTATTTAATTTAATTAATAAATATGCATACCAATATTTTAATGTGGTTGGTATATAATAGTTTAATTCACTAGTTTCTTATAATATTGTCTCTTATAATATTGTCAAAATTGTTGATGTAACTAAAATTTCATCATTTACTTTTATAAATTTTGCTCGCTAATTTATAACATTTATCCATATATATTTGTATGCATGTCAAATTTTTTATTTTGCAAGCTATTGAAATTACATTATTTTAGCTTCCCGTTTTTATATCACATGGCATACATGATATTGTTGTATTTAAAAAAGAATTAATGAGCCTAGGGGAAGAAAAGAAAACGAAAACAAAGATGCGGTGTTCTTTTTTTGGTAGTTGGTTAAGTGAACCCTTGTACTTGCTTCGAGTTATTTTACCATCTTATGCTTTATGTTTCATCTGGGTACGAGAGGGGACTTGAGGATGAGGGGCATCCTTTGTGTGGGGTCATGATCTTACATTTGTAAGTTTTAATTGCAAAACAATAAAAATGATTATACCACAAACTAGCAAATGGTTTAGCCAGCTTGAATCTGAAGAAAAAAAAAAAGAATTTCTTTGAACTGTAAATTAAAAATCAAGTAAGGCACCTGCTTAATTTGTTACTGTATGTTCTTGATGATTTGGATTCTAATCGTGGTTCTCTTTTTCTCTGGGGTTGTTGATGGGAACATCAGCAGCGATTTTGACACATTTACCTTCAGGAGATGCCGGAGATCGATGGCCACGATCATGATTTGTATTTTCATCATTTTATGTAGTAGTTTATTTTTTATTTTATGTTTTTCCATTTTTACCCTTATGGGTATTTGGTAGTTATTGTAGCCCAAGGGGCATTTTAGTACTTTACTTTCTTTGTCATTTTGATGCCTATTTATATGGCCCTATTCTCATGTAAGAGTTAGTTTTGATGAATGAAAATATTTGCCACTTATGATCTCTTTGTGAGTTCACCCTCCTCGATCTCTTAGTGAGTTCACGGGAGAAGCTAGATCTCTTTGTGAGTTCTAGATCTTCTTGTTCTACCATTTTTCTTCCTTTATCTCTTGTGATCGATTCGTAATTGTGTGGAGAATTCGGTTTTGAAGATCAAAGAGGTGAGTGGAATCATAGCAAAACAAATCTTCAAATTTTCACCTCCTCCCTTCCCCTCATCCTTTGCCGCCGCCTCCCATTAGAGCCGCCCAGGCCGCCGGCCTATAAAGCCCCTCCCACCGGCCGGCAATCCACCCAGCAGCCCGCCGGCCACCCTTGGAGCCCCTTGCCGCCGGCCCCCCTCTGGCCCTCCTCTCCGAATTTTGAATTTCCCTCCCTTAATGACTTTCCTAATTAAGCCAAATTAAATTAGGAAATTAATTAAGATGAATTACAATTTTTGAAATTCAAATTCCCTCTTAATTTATTTGAATTGGGGAGTTACATAAGACAATCAAATTCTGAAATTAATATCGGATTTTGATTAATTTCTAGTGGTCCCCACTTGCTTAATTTCTAACCCCTTTTATTTCTCTCTACATGGCCGGCCATACATAGATGCCAAATCCTCTCACCTGCTATTAATTCCAATCTAATTAATCCCTTATTTTCTCTGAAAACCGCTGGCCCCTCATGGAATTAATTGGAATTCCCACAAGACAGCCGCCTCCTTCTTCTTCTCTCTCTCCCTCTCAATTCCCCTTGCTCCTAAGCTTAGAATCCTGAGATTTCTCTCAGATTTTGGCTGTCCTGCACCGTTGGAAGGCTGAATTTGCTGCCAGAATTCCTGTTTGCAGTTTTTTCTCCCTGCTGTCCTCATATTTCAGCATACAGCTTGCTGTCCCCTTATACCAGCAAAGATATCCTGCTGTCCAGCACTTTGGAAGACCACCGACAGATATATGGGCTACCTAATGGACTACACTTTGGCACCATTTGTCTTTGGGTAAACTCTTCCCCGACTCTTTTCTCTTCGAAGTGTTTCTCAATTGTGGTCTAGTAAATTCATGACGCTCATGTTAATGCTTCTCCGCTAAAGCTTAGTGAATTAGAGAGTTGAGTGAGTAGACACTTCTAGTGATTAATCTTATTGTTAGTCTAGGGATATTTGTGGAAAACCATTCATGTACGCAACGTTAGATTGACTTGATTGTTATATGATCTTAACTCTTACGCAAGTGATTCAACCGTAAGCTTGTTTTTCCGATCTTAATGTTTTATCTCGTCGTTCAAATCATTATAAAGATATAATTATTTGTTCTCTCTAAAATTAAGCGTGCAAATTCATTATGAAACTCATCTTCGCATGTATGTTTCACACCATCTTGGTATCAGAGCATGGCTAGCATGCTTGACTTATGCTAGATGCATCCTAGGGTCTAGCCTCTAATTGTAGTTTGAAATTTACATGCATATCAATGCGTAGATAGGACATTTTCACTGTTTTCGCTGCTGTAGTCGTAATTCCTGCATGCATACATTAAGGTTTGAGACATTCTAGGTAGTGTAAGAGTGCTGCCTTTAAACCCACTTTGCTTCTACTTGTTTAGGACAATCACAACCTTAAGTATAACCACTGTCCTCACTGTTCCTGCTGCATTTACCCATCATTTAGCGAACTTTAAGTCCTTGTTTAGGTGTTGTCCACTCTCTCGGATCTTTCCCTAACACCTAGACAGCTTAGGCACTAAACCCCTCTTCCTGTCTACTTAATTCCTGCACTGTTCAATCACCGTTTGGGAAAATTTAGGACTCTTTCACTTGCTGTCCACATCCTAAAATCCTTCCTAAGCACTTAGATAACTTTATGCCTTGTCTTAGTTTGCTGTCCAAACTATCTTCACCCCCTGTAGTGAGTCTAAGTGAGCCTAACTTAGAGTCTAGATGACGTCCCTTACACCCACTCATCTTTGAGTTTCACTTGACCCTTTTCAATGGATCCGATAAGACTCCAAAAGAGTTTAGATGACATCGTTAACCTAGTGGGCAATATGACTAGAATTATGACGGAGAAACCCGTTGACTATCCCCACTCTAATTACAGGCCCCACTCAGCTTATCACCCGAGACCTGAGCCTAAGCCTCCACGACCTCACTTAGAGTCACCCTATCGTCTGCCAACCTTTGATGGTTCCTCGGATCCTTACCACTTTAGGGAATGGGCTAGACAACTAGATGACTATTTTGAATCATGTCATATCCCTGAATCCCACCAGGTTAGCATCGTTAAGTCTCACCTTAAAGGTCGAGCTCTTCAATTTTGGGCAAGATTGGAAGATCATAAAGAGTCTCGCGGTGAGTACCCTACGTGGAAAGACATGAGGCGAGAACTTAATTTAAAATACCGACCCTCGACCAGAGACCACTATCTAGAGCCCCACCCTACCTCTTCTGTTGGATCAAACCATGGACATTACTGTGGTCGAGACCACCCATCCTTTAGTAACGACAGGGTTGCTGCCCCACCCTGTAGGTCTTCACTCAGTCTTGGTGACCGACCCTTTAGTGGGTCTTCTGTTGGTTTGAGCCCCTATGATTCCCCATTTGGGCTAAGTTCTAGCCACCTCAGTCAACCTTCAGCCTCTCCAGTCCTTGACCCTGCAAGTGTAATTCTGATCGAGAAATGAATTAACAAGAAAACGCCCTCTGGATCTAAAACGGAGTGCATCCATTTCGTGGATGCTAATGATATCACTAATAACGAAGAATTCTTTGAGGATGAAACTAAAGAGATTGAATCAGACTCCCTGAA